CCATCTTCCAGGTTGGGGTCCGAAAGACTCTACAACTGGTTGGCTGGAGACATTAAAGGATATGGCGACTAACCGACAGCAATGGTGCTCTTGTTGTCATTTCCCAACAAGGCAGAATGCCTGAAACGGTATGTATGTAGAGTTCGATTGCGTACTGTGTGTTGACCATAGTGGCTCATCTTCTTCCCCCTCTTTCAAAATAGATCCAACCCCTGTCCATCTTAAATTTTACCACTAACCTTGTATGCGTAGTGAGTTTGGCAGCGGTCAGTGAAGTTCGCTTCACGGTATTTTGCTGTACGATGATGATAATGATCATGTGGATTCAACATTTCAGGCAGCCAAACTCAGACCAATTTTCACTGTCTTTGATTACCTGTATGCCTTTACTGAGCTCAACCATGATAACTTGCTTAAACGCATCTATGGTGCATCTTACGTAGACCGTACGGCCAGGCGTCCTTTAAAACGCGTTCAGAACAATTACCCACGTTCCAGGACAGGATTACTAGTACTTCTAGTGCACTTCAATAGAGTGTTGAATATCCTTCTTCCCAGTGTCGAAGGTATTTCTGATTTGAGCAGTAGTCGTCAGACAGCTATAATTTGGTTACTAAACCAAAACGTGGATATACAGAAATGACTAGAGCAGCAGCTTTGACCTAGTATCCGATTTGAAATAAACCACTTGGCAAATGGGATGGTCACCTTATTTATTTCAGCTTGGCGATTGCATAATATTACTCGTTTGGGTATATCGCTCCTCTCTCTTCAGTCATCGACTAGTATTTCTGTCTAATATACGATCTTTTATTTAGCATGATCAGAAACCATCAAACACAATGGTCTGGTCCTCAAAACCTTTTCTTAATGCTATAAAGGGCTTTTGAAGTGCCTGGCTAACGGTTGCATACAATGAAAACTGAAACTGACCATAACGATTTTCCCACCGACATACGCCGGAAAACAACTTATGTGTTGTAAAACCACTCGCTCTGCCATACCATTACGTAAACCGTGAAGGCTAATGGACGTTTCCAAGAAAAATAATTCCATTTTACGGACTTACGGCAAACGTGGCTTCATGACGAATGTGTGCGACCTTCAAAATCCCACGGACGCCACGCCATCACTAAAGCTAGTGTGTGAGCTAAGCGCACTTCAACGTGATAATATAGATGAGCATTAGGATCAGATTAAGTGAGTAATGCATTCCGTAGCGAGGATTCCTTGTGAATTTGAATCGGTAGTCTATCCGAGGCATTGGATATCTGATGAGTCAGTAGCACTGATGGAGAAAAAACGACAAATCCCGACTTGCCTGGATCAAAATAGAGTTAGGTGGCATCTACAACGTCAGCTCACGAAGAGCCTCAAGAAATATCATCAAAAACGGTGGGCAACAATAGCTAATGAAATGGAAGTAGCAGCTGCATTAGGGAATAGTCGAAGACTTACAACTGATACGCAGCACAGGAGGTCGGCTTACTCCAGTTAGTGGAACAGTCTGCGATAGGAAGGGAAAAATTGTGAACAATACGGATCAACTTCATCGCGGGGCGGAATACTTTAGTGAACAATTCAGTTGGCCAGGTCCTAGCCAGGCTATTTCAGCTGCAACAGAAGCTCCGTGAGTAATGTCGTGCGATTCTCCAGCAGAACTAGTTCAGTATTGCATTCAAGCTCTGAAGCGAGGAAAGGCAGCAGGACCACATGGGCTCCTCCAGCTTTTTTCAAGATGGGGGTTGATAACCTCGTAAGCTCTACTACCACTCTACTGCGCAACATTTGGACGCAAGAGCACATTCCTTCATCTTGAGGCAAATCGCTGATCGTTCCCATTTTCAAGAAAGGATCCCACAACAATCACGTAAACGATCGCGGGATCAATCTGATCCCGATCGTCACCAAAGTGCTAGTCTAGGTCATACTTCTACGTCTGACTCCTTTAAGAGAGACCGACAACTACGAACATCAAGGCGGAATCCGGTCCGGCCGTGGATGTATTGATCAAATCTTTGCGTTGCATCAGGTCTTTGGGCTGCGTCACACCCACCGTCGATCAACGATCGCAGTGTTCCTTGATCTGAAAGGAGACTTCCACTCAGTTGACCGCGAAGCTCTGAGGGGTACCCTCATTCGAAAAGGAATGCCCCAGAAGTACGTTAACCTACTGAGGTGTAGTCGCATACCTCTGCTCGTGTAAGGGTTTACAACGACCTAAGCAGGCCGTTTTTCACCAGCAGCGGCGTTCGTCAAGGGTGCCCGCTCTCGCGGTTCCTGTTCAATTTCGTCGTAGACGAAATACTGGAGAACGCACTTGATGATTGATGATGATGACGACGACGATGATGATGATAACCGAGTTGGCTAAAAATCCGGATTCGAAACCAACCAAGCAGGCGTNCCCACATATACTTTCCTGGTTTTAACGGATGTCACCGGTTACATTGGACATGGAGGAGTATTGGGTACCTTGAATGTTTGACACCGTCCATCAAGTTCGTGACTAGATGAAGTGAACACTAGCTTAGCGGTTTCCGCACCGTCTCAGAGCCTTGCAGGTCAGGTTTCGGTTAGCCAATGGCTCGTTTTTTTATTACACACCTAGGTGTGATGAACAGCAGACGGGGTAAACCCCATAGTCACGAGGACCTGCTGTTCAGTGGTTGAATTCGGCAACCTAAGCCCCGAAACTTGGAGTGACGAACCACATAAGGCACCGATAGGTTAGGCGTGGTATTGAACCGGACGACAGCAGAGCTGCCTACAACCATTTTCAAAAGTTACCTGCGTTGGTCAATGCATTCCGGCAGTACCTTACTTGCCAGCAAATCATCGGCTTTTTGTTATAAGGATTAATACACCGTGATTTGTTTGGCATAGCTTTAACTCAAACGCCCGTGAGATGCAAGATACTGAGACACCACAAAGCTTCACGTGATCAACTTTATCACATTGGCACCGATCGAACTGTCATAAAGATACTTGCATTATTCTTTCGACACTGAACTCCAGCAAGTGTGAATTATACTATTACGAAATCAAACTAAATGTGCAAAAAGTGAACACCCCTCACCAAATTCTGGAGCAAATATTCTTTCCGTAGATCCACTATTTTATCTTTCTTAATCTGCAAGTGACCTTGGACCCGGATGACAGCATATCACTCGATACTACTTCACCAGAAAGGATATATGGAAGTTTATCTCATTTTTTGCTTGTTGCCCAACCGAAGCCGCGTGAGAGCTTACGGTTACTCTTTGCCTCAGGTTACCGTGGAAAACGGTTTGTCACAATTGTCCTATTCCCCTTTTCCCATCTTTGAAATGGGCAGGACTTTGGTAACAGCTCTGCCCTCGTGCGGAGATAATGGCATTGACGCGCCCTCAAACGGAAAACTGCTTAGTATGGAATAATGCTGAGTGAAAATCCAGGTAAAATGTAAGATCAGCTGGATGGTTCAAATATGAAAGTAGCTTCATTCCGCAAAGATTTCAAATCCCCGATGTAAAAAGTTAGAGGATTCCGTCAAAGAGAATGCGGACAAACCATTCCATTACGGTGGCTATCTTTTATGGCTTGAGAATCTCCCATGAAGTTTCGATACGCGCAGAGGAGACTCGATTGTCGTTTATTAACATATAGCGATAAATTCGGCTGCCTGTGGAGTATTGAGCGGGTAGCTGCAAAAGGGTAACCCAGAGCCCCGCATGAAAATGCACGGCTTAAGTTTGTGACTATGCAAACATTAAAACGTTTAGTGGAATGGTAAACTGCAGTCTGAGCCTTTAAGCAGAGCAAGACGAATTTTAAATGAGGACTATGAGGGCTGTTTGACTTATATTGTTAGTTTCGATGACAGTAACGTCAAAATAAGCTCATCAAAGCCTCAGGAGAAACTGAATTCAGTTCACGCGAGCTACGAGAACCGATTTTCATTACTCTGTCATCATAAATGTACCAATTAGTGAAGAAATTGAGGTTATAGCTTTCCGGATGAGTGAATGCATTACTTACGCTAAGAACTGACTCAACAAATTTCCATCGTTTCAATAGAAACAACAAAAAACAGTAAACAAATAAAACACTCAAAAAACAACTGAACTCACATTTATATTTCGATTTGAGAGAGCCGATGGACCGATAATCCGCATTGTATACCCGGTTAACACGCCACCTTGTTCCCACATTGCAGGCGGATGCCAATGCAGCTCAAGTACTGTACCATTTTGCACCCACAAAGCTCTAAAAACCTTTGGAGCGCCTGAAGGAGAGCTGTCGAAGGTAAGCACTGTAACCGATTTGCTTCGAGGACCAAACAAATGACCAAAAAGGGGATGAGTACCAACCGGCTCTATTTCGACGGAGTAACATATAAACGGTTTCAATTCCGGAATAACGGCACGCTTGTAAAGTGAATTGCCATTAGCCACATCTGCATTAACTTCAAAATGTTCTCTAGTAAGAGACAATGGGGGGTCAGCAGAGAGATCATACTTATCTCTAAGTTCCGATAGGCTGCAGTGGGAAAATTCGTCTCCTGACTCATATTCCGTTGAGGAATCACTTAGTGAACATTGGGATTCAGTAAAGCTCGCTTTTTCTTCATGATGCTGCAATGTATAGCCATTCAACTTAGGATCCAACGAAAGACAACGTGAAAGTGGCACCGGCTTAGCAGTTACCTTGTGGGCGTTAATTTCTGATAATGAAGCGACATGTCCACAGGTCGTCCACTCCACTAAAGCTTCTGATGGAGACAGGGGCCTCGATAGAAGTGGACTGAAATGAACCTTCTGGATCCGGGCTAAAATGTGTACCTGATCCACATCGTCTCTGGTACTAGAAGCAAGTGTATATACCACTTGATCCAAAATTTTTGGTCTCCCGACTCCGTGTTTGTTCACACCACGAACAAGTATATAATAGCCAGTCCGCGGATTGAGATTTTCAATTCTGGTTTCGCGTGCCTTTACAGAGGCGGATGCAAGTTGCCATCCAGAAGACGAATTATACTCGGCATATTCAATGCGATACTCTGAAGGCAAATCCTGCCTAGGAGCTGAATTGTTAGTCTCTGGAAAATCAAGCAAAATTGTTATCCATGTGTCACCCACGCTCAACAGTTCGATACGCTCAGGAGGATGTGGAATAAGACCATCGGCGTTTTTGCCTTCAAAATTCATTCCAGCAGAATCAGACTCTAATCCACTTTGAAGAACTGTCAGGTGTGCAGACCAACTTGTCTTGGTTGACGAAACGGTACCTCTGTTGAACTCCTCCACTTCCACTTCACACTTGTAAACACCAGTGTCGGATGGTCGAACCGCATGCAGCTGGAGAGACCCTGTGTTGAACAATACAATCCGGCGATCGTTAGGAGGTGAGACTCGAACACCATTAATATACCAATGAGTTACTATCTCCGGAAAAGAATGATCACTCGTAGTGGGTGAAGAGCGAGGATACCGAAGGACGCTAGCTTGGCACGGAAAGGTGGCTATCATACCCGAATACAACGTGAGATTCTGAGGAACCAACTCGATAACTGGAAGTGGTTGTGCAAACGGTGTTTCCACAAATAAGCGAGACAATGATTTCACAATTCCAGCCAGTTGGGAAGCTCGACACTCATACATGCCTTCATCCGTAGCGGTTACTGAACTTATGATAAGAGTTCCATTAGAATACACTTGGCGTCTTCCAAATACTGAAGGGTTGTATCCAGATGGCACCCAAAATGTTTCTCCGTTGTGAATCCACCGCACACTTGGTGGAGGGGTACCAGAAGCTACACAATCAAAGGTTACAGTTTCTCCAACTGGTACAGTTCGATCATCTGGTGTAACCAGAAACGTCGGTGGCGAAATCACTGATAGATGCGCAACAGCCTCTGCTCTACCGTGAGCATTTTTTACCTCGCATACATAGTCCCCAGCGTCTGAGAGCTGAACGTTTTCTATTCTTAAGCTGCGCTTGTTCCACAACTTTGCCCGCATTTTCCCCATTGATTTACGCCAGACGATTGTGGAGTTTGGGACGTCCGCAGCGAGGCACTGAAAATCGACCGATTCGCCAACAACAGCTTGTTTATTTCCTGGAGCTGAGGTGAACCGTGGTTTTCTTTGGACAGTGAGCGTCGATGGGCTGCTTTCCCATCGTCCAGCAAAGTTTTCTGCTCGACACTGGTAAGAACCAGCATCACTTTGCTTCACTGGGTGGATTTTTAGATTGGAGTGTTCAATTATTTGAATTCGGTGACTTTCAGTCAGAACCGATCCATCACGAGTCCAGGAAACCGAAGGCTTTGGCAATCCATTGGGAGGAACACACTCAAGAACCACCGTGTCGCCAACGTTTACTGCTTTATTATCGGGTCCTTGAGCTGCAGAAGAATCAAAAAAGGCAGAACGAACAGTGGCGCTAGCTGACTTGGCCCATCCGTGGATATTGCTCGCATTACAATAATAGACTCCTTCATCTGACGTTCCAAATCGCAAAATGATGAGCTCTCCGTGATTGGTTATTCTGTTAGAAGTTCCTGGTTTATCTCGATGCGTTTGCACAATTTCACCATCTTTATACCAGGTGATTGAGGGTGCAGGATAACCAGTAGCATAACACTTTAAAGTCAATTGTTGGTCGTGTGGCAGGAAGGTATCCTCAGGAGAAGTAGTAAACACAGGTCTATGATCACCTCTATCATCCGCTGATGAAAAATGTATCCAGGTGAAAATTACGATGCACAACTTGGAGGAATACATTATAAGCATCACAACCGCAATTATCCACAAAGAAACATGACAAACAAATAACGCGCCGTTTAATTCCAGCACGTAAGTTGAGTGAGTAAAACAATTTCAGGGCAAGTCTTGAAGTCTTGAAGTAATGTACGCGTTCGAGGCCAGGCCCAATGGTCCCGGTTCTTGGTAGATTCGTCGAGACAAGATGAATACGAAGCAAGAGTGAAAATAGAAAAGCAAGAGAGAACCTGGCTGAAGTTTAGAGACATTCAGCAGGCAAGATAGCAGAGGGAAGACGATCAATTCGAGTCCATATACACACGTCAACTTTGACATGACGGCAGACGAAATGAGATGCGATCAGTTTGTCGTTTGCGCGGATGCCTGGGTGTGATGTATCGTGCATCTGATCGAAGATGAGTCGTCGAAAATTCTCGTGGACCACTGAACGTGGTCTACTTTGGCTGACATCGCAAAGAACAGGTTGTTCTGAACCTGAGATGAGCATTTGTTCGAGGCACAGTGATCTAATGAGACGCAATGGTTCTATTTCGGTATCCGTGCTCTGCGCGGTTGCAAGAGCAGCTAGATCTAGCGGTTTCGATGATGTGTTAAGGGAAGCGATGCGTGGTAACGCATCGGAGACGGGGTTATCGACACCTGAGACATGGGGTATGTCGCTCGTGAACAGAGTGACAGTCTAGGTGTCTTATTTCCCGTGGAGAATACCTGTCAGAAGGTGAACGTGCGGCAAAAATTAACGGCTTATGGTCGGTAAAAACGATAAATGATTTACCTTCCAACGCGTGTCTGAAATGGCGAATTCTAAGATGAACGACTAAGAGTTAGAGACAGGAATCTGATTGTACGCGCAACCAAATCGATCTTACTAAGGAACGACTTACCAACGAGGTTTGCAGTCAGATCCTTTATGTGAGGAATGGGATAGCGGTCTGGGACTGTGCACTTGTTGAGCGCTCGGTATTCACCGCAAGGGTTCCAGTCACCTGCACTTTTCGGGGCCATGTGTAACGGAGAGGCCCATGGGCTATAGGATGGACGAATTATGCCTAGTTGTAGCATGTGCTCGAATTCTATCTTTGCGACTTTGAGTTTGCCGGGGGCCAACTTACGAAGTCGGCTTCGGACAGGAGGACCCTGGGTGACGATATGGTGTTCAACCTGCGCTGTAGTGGCAGGTAGATCGTCAGGGGAACGGACGAGTGATGAATATTCGCGAACGATTGCGTCGAAATGAGTTAATTCTTTGGGAATTGCTAATAATGGGCTAAGGGTAGGCTTATCCGCGGGTCGAGCTGTCGCTTTAAGTTTTGTCGTGCAGTCTACCAGTGTATAATAATAATAATAATAAGTGTTTATTTCACGGAGACCCGTGAAGCATGCATAGGCATGATCAAATGTACAACATAATCATCCATATATGAGAAGCTGAAGAGTAAAACTTTGTAGATCGCATTGAGCATAATTACAAATGGAACACAAAGTGAACAAGGTGTCAGAGAAAACGGTTCGAGATGGCGGAATGCTCCCAAAGAGCAAGTCGGTGGAAGTAGGACGAAAAACAAGAATAGATTTACCGGATGAATGATGAGATCATTGGAAATACGACAATCAATGAGTAAAATAACAAGAGGCAGCCTGCAGATCGTTAGACGGGAATGGACAAAAGTAGGAGTCACTCCGAGTGTGCATGATAGGAAAGAAGCACAGTCATTGGAAGATATTATTGTATCTTGCTTCTGGTTTTTCAGTAATACTCCGAATAAATTCACCACTGGATATCGTGCCAATCTAACGGAAGACGCCTTTTTTACAGCAGCAGATCTCTGGAAAAGAAGACAGAAACGCAAAACAGTCTCGGTTTTGACCTAGCTGATGAGGGATTGGGAGAGAAAGAAGCATGCAAGTTATGGTGCAATTGTATCTTAGAAGTTCCGGACAGTCAAGTAGACGACTACTAGCTGATATTTATAGAAGAGTCACCAAATATTGCCACTAGACACAGTATGCAATGGCAACAAAGGCGAAATGAATAAATCCGATTTCTCACTACGGCATAAGAACAGATTGGTCAAGTGAAAAGATGTATTCACCAGAAGAATGTTCATTCCACTGATCAGTCATGTAGGTTGACCAGTGTACTGGATCTAGAATTGGTGTAAAGGTGAACACTGCTGCCTTGTCAACAAGTGCCACCGAAGTGAGTGGGATAAAAAGAATTCCGAATAATGATAGGGCTGAGATGTTCAGTATTTTGGGCGAAAAACCTGGTATAGGTTTTCACCAGAAGAATATCTATTTCACTGATCAGCTATGTAGGTTGACCAGTGTACTGCATCTAGAATCTGTACCGATGAGAATTTTGTTAGAAAGTGAACACAGCTGCCTGGTTAGCATGTGCCACGAAGTTTAGTCAAATGACTCGAGCGAAACGTGGTGAGTAATAGTTGTGCTAGTGAATAATTGGTCATGATACTTCTAGGAGTATGTACCAAGATGGAATGTGTTCCACAGATACAGCTTTGAAGCTGAATCGGTGTAATGATTGAGGTTCGATTTAGAAAGTGGTCACAGTGGTCTACGCTTTCTAGTGTCTACTAGCAAGTGAAAGTTTTGAAGGAAGTCGACTCGTAGTATAGCGAATGGAACTTTTGCGACGTAAAAAACCCATGAGAAGTTACGACGTAGATTGAGATCTAGGGTAAGTATCTGCTGACCATAGGTTTCTATAGGTGTCCCGTTTGCGGCTTTCAAATGGTTGCCAGCCATTTCGCAAAACTGTCGATGTTGAAAAGAACACTAACTTTGACCCCAATGTCTACCAGGAATTTCTGTCCCTAATGAAGAACAGACGATCCGTGTTGGGATGCACCGGACGAGGTGGTCGTCGTGACACGTCGGCCTAGTAGTTGTCTGACGACTGGCGGTTGTGATGTTTGCATACAGTCTTGCAACGCCTGGCGTTGCCACCGAATTCACGGTGGTACCAACAGACACCGTCCGCGTATAACGCGGGACTGTTTGTGCGACTACGCGACGGTGATCTTCGGCCGCGTGAATTTGAGCAGCTCGTGCTGCGCCCCCTCATGACTATGTCCCGGAGTTCCGTCATCTGTCATTCTAGGTTATCAAGGGTAATCGGCTCTCGGCTCCGGCGTTCTTCCATTGATAGTTGTGCGATCGTAGCGCGCCATGTTTCGATTTCCTTATCCCTATCGCTAGGAGTAGGGGAAGGTGGAACCGCTGGCGTAACGGCGTGCAGCTGCTGCCTCTCCAGTACAGCATCAGCCGCAGCCGCTAACTGGTCTAAGTCTAGGTTGGGAATGGCGACGATTATGTCCTGTACGGCGTTCGGTATCCGCTGCAATCACAACTCACGCAGAAGTGTTTCGTGCGTGAGAGATGGCCCGGCGATTTGACGCATTTCCCGTAGAAGCATTCAAGGCTTCTTTTTACCGAGTGTAAGCGTGTGACAAAGCTGGGTTAGCCCTGTTTGCTCGGAAGGACCAGCCTCTGCTAGGATCCGCTCTTTCAAGAGCCGATACCTATGTTCGCTAGGGTCCATGAGGATAATGTCCTCCGAGGCCCCAACATGCACGAAGCTCAGCCTCGTGATGAGTTGTCCGTACATTTGGTCATCGGACACTATCCCTTTATTGCGCAGCGCTTGCTCGAAAACTGTGAACCATACCGACGGCTTAGTTACGGCTAGATCGGGTATAGGCAAAAACATTGCCCCTACGACAGGTTTATACTCGTCAAGCATTATGAAACGTATACAACAAAAACCAACAACAAAATAACAGTTACTAGTATGCCAGAATAACGATCACAAAAACGATAAACCGTAAAAAGTTATAATAAAAAATATATTGCGGTCCGTGAAAAACATACGGGCTCACCACTTTAGATAGCTCAACGTTATCTACGACAACTAAACGCAAGTTATTTTAACTATCCTGAGTGCGGTAACGAGCAACACGACTATTGCTCTGAACGAGTAAGAAGACAGACAACTCGTGACCAACGGTGTATACGACGAGACCTGCAGTGAAAGGTTTACACGTGTAGTGATGCTGCGTGACTCACAAGTGACAATTCCACGGTTGAGCGTAAACAGGTAAAGTGCACCTGGTAAAACAAAAGCTCGTTGCGAGTAGATAATAAGTCCTAGGCAAAAGGTGAAGGTGGAGTGTCACTACACACGTTTACCGTTGCGCTGTATTATGTAGACTTTCTCCAGGCGTCGCAGTACCTTATGTAGGCCGCTGTATTGAGGTTGCAGCGGTGCGTGAACCTCTGCCCTGAGGAAGACATGCGATCTTTCGGCTAAGCTAGGGGGACGTAGGTTTGGGGTGTTTGCTGGCGAGGTGGTTGAATATGCAACTGTCGCATGCGATGTACTAAACGAGCTGCATAGTCACCGTAGTTGAGTTCGGTTAGTTGTGTCGGTACCACCATTTCTCCTGGGGGACGCAATGTGCGACCGAACGTCAACTCTGCCAGCGAAGACTGCAGATCATCTTTGAAAGCTGATCTGCAACCCAAGAGGACTGAGGGTTAAGACTCTCCAGTCCGGGCTCGCCTGTTCTGCCAGAGAACTTTTCAGTTGCCAATGAAAACGCTCAACCATCCCGTTGGCTGCCGGGTGGTAAGCGGTCGTCTGAACGCGGCGAATGCCTAGATGCTTAAGTAGTTATGCAAAAACACCCTCGAAATGAGAACCTCGATCGGTTGTAACTACTGCTGGACAAGCAAAACTAGCTATCCAACCCTATACGAAGGCTTGTGCCGTTACTTCGCTGGATGCGGGAGACAAGAGCACAGTTACTGGCCACCGGGTGAAACGATCTATAAAGGTGACTATATAGATACACCCTTTCGATGGCGGCAGGGGTCCCACTAAGTCTATTTGGACGTGATGGAAACGTTCGTCGACGACGGGGAACGAGCCTAGTAAGCTCGTTGTGTGGTGAATAATTTTGTTCCTTTGGCAGGACAAGCACTGGCGTGTCCATTGGCGTATGTCCTTTTTGATGTTGTGCCACACGAGACGATCAGTGATGAGTTTCACCGAGGCGCGAATGCCTGGGTGTGACAAATTATGCAGTGTCTCAAATCTTTTTGCGGAAGGTCGATGGGACTACTGGCCTAGGGTGACCTAGGGAGACGTCGCAATAAACTTTGTTGTCTGACGACGGAAGTGGTAGATGTTCCATGCGGAGCGTAGATTGCTTGCGAAGTCGCTCAATATCAGTGTCGCAGGTTTGCGTTGTGG